GCTTCTGCCCACTTTCGCCCTAAGAAGCTACACAAAACGGAGACTGACCACGAAACCCGAGGGCGTTTCGTGGCCCCGCAGATGCCAACAACGTAGCTAGGTGCCTTGCGAACCCTCAAGTAGGCATTGCGAAAACCCTGACCGAGAAGGACAAGGATTTACATGCATACAAAAGCTCGAGGTCCTTTTCCATGTTGCATTCAAGTTCCAAGATTTGGTGCCATGAGAAGAAAAGCAAGCTAAGCAAGACATTCCACAACTCATCAACGAATTAGTTTCTTACTATTTCTGATTGTTGCAATACGTTCATCTTTCGAACACAGTGACCAAATGCGACCAATACTTTGTGCTCGTGCCTTGGTATGCTTGAACTCTGCATATCCCTCCTTCCAGTCCGGCGGGCTGGGAGGATTGATGTCACTGGTCGGAGAGACCTGGCAGGTCTTCCAACAGCCAGCCATTCATCAAGTGCATTGGAAGACGCAAATGACCAAACGGCTACGGCTACATGTGAGATGCACATGTTCTCCTTCTCAAGGTACTGGACTACTTCTCGCTAGGCAGGCCATGTGTGACCTACAGTACTCCGTTTGTCTCACATTCAAACCGCCCACAAGCCATCTTCTTCCAAGCCGACCAACAGCTGAGACAAGCGCAAGTTAGTTCATTGAGCCACACTACCATACACTCCTACCTGTCTCCGCGCGCCGGCGTCTAAGCAGTGAAGGTCAGCTGAGCGTTTCCAATCCCAGGCAAGCAGTGCCTCCAAGGTGTACGGCTCTTCTTGTGTGTTTGGGCTATCCTTCCAAATCAAATCCACGCCTCACGCTGCCAACACTACGCAGTGCATCTGAATAAACTCCACACAATGTCAGCCTACACTGTCAGCGCATTGCAGTAACAGGTGCTGTCTGGCTCAAAGCATCAGGAACTCTATGAAATTTCCGAGAAGGTTTGTAGCGCACAAACTGACAACCACAAGAAACATCTTGGCAAATACCTCCAACAGGAATGCCCGTCTTGTTTGCGAAGCTCTCCACAAAGGGGGCAATGGTTTCTAGATCAAAGTTGAAGTCCTGCACGCGACCGTGAGGCGCCATTGCTGTATTCGACCATGACATCGACTGCATGATTGCATGAACCGGATGTGTTCTCTGTCCGGTTCTGCAAACTGGTACGCTATACCGGAGCTGATAAGGTTGTGCTTGTGCAGCTGAAGGTCAATGGAGCCAAGAAAACCCCAGTGGCAAATAGTAAAATCACCACTATTCACTCCTCAGGACCTCACTCATTACTGCTGAATGACCCCCAAATCCAAGTTCCTCTGCTCGTTTCTGGGCCGTTTCCAGCTCCAACAGTACCCACCAGTTGGTCCTGGAAGCCTCCACGAGTGCTCGCTGCGGAGGCACTCCGTAGGCTTTGCCGGATCCGCCAGTAGCCATGGAAGGGCCGGCCATCCACATAGGTGACCCGTGCCTGGAAGACTTTCTACTAGGAACAAGTGCCTTACTAGTAGTAACAAGTGCCTTACTAGTAGTAACAAGAAGCTATTAGCTTATTGTTTCTAAATAGCAAACATTGTTACTACTAGTAAGGCACTTGTTACTAGAAGCGATGCACTTGTTACTACTGGTAGTAGCTTCTTGTTTCTGGTCCCAAGATTTGCAACATTAACTATAGTATTGACAGCCAAATCCCGCTGAAAGGCTTCCAGTGGTTTCTTGTTCCTAACAAAACACTCTTGTAACAGTGATCTTGTGTATTCAGAATGGTGTCAAGAAATGCACATATAAAGCAGCCCCTTTTGCTGGAAACAATGACTCCACTTCCACTGGTTGCCCGGTTCCGAACGCCTCTCTCAGTGCTCTGACTTTGCGTTGAACCAAGACCTCCACACCGGGCTGTGCCTCAGAAGCGATGACGTGAGACTATGTCAAAAACCGATGTAAGACGATATCAGCTGCGTCAAACACCGGTGGTGTCAAGCCACCATGGTCACCATGGTTCAGTCAGCTGCTGATCTTCCGCCGATTAGGATGACACGATTCGGCCGTCATCCGTTCCGCTGGAGTCCGCTGATTTTGCCACTTGTCCCTACAGGCCCTATGGCCCAGCCAAGTCTAGAGTCAGAGTCACAGCCCTTCCAGTGAACTTATGACCTGGATTAAAGCTAACTCTAATGAATCACAATAGCTGCAAAAAAAACAGACAAAACATTAAGATCAGTGACTGAATACAAGAATAACAAAAGGAATCAAACGGCAACCCTCTTAGTCACTACCTTGCCTCCGCAAAGAAGGTTTTGAAGGCTTCTTCAATGTCGTGTGCATTTTCTGCTTGCAGCCTTGCAAATTGCAGTGAGTGCAGGGCGAGCTGAATGCAAGCTGTTACTATAAATGCTGTTCTCACGGTCTGTCAGAATGGTTCTGTGATGCTTCGATCAAAGCTGTCTGTCATTGAAAAAAACATGCAGTAAATGCAGCGTGCCTGGATTCAAATTCGGAATCACCCTAAATCAGTCAAACAAGCTAAGCCCCTGGCAGGCCGATGCTAGAGTAGCCATAGGGATCCTGGCGTCACGAACATCACAACTCCAAGACCCCAAGACGTTCGCATCTGGAGCATCGAAATAACTCGACACCAACTCTTCTGTTGCCCCCTTTGCTCCCTCTTCGCTCACATTTTAAGGTTGGAGGCCATTGCTATTCGGTTGGAGGCCATCGCCTAGTAGGTTGGAGGCCACCGCTGGTAGGTTCCACCTTAGCTCACACATCTTATTATTGCATGTCACAGCACCTTGATCACCACGGGGTACTGAATCTTGTCCCGGTGCGCCATTGCATCTGCCAAACTGCTAAAGACCTCGTGCGGGGATGTTGCTGTCTTCCAAGCTTCCTGTCCCATGTCAAGACTGGTTGTCGTGGTTGCAGTCTCCACAACATCTATTCTCAGAATGTCAAACTTATGCGGTTTCGATACGAGTTGCCAAATGGCAAAACGTGTGACACATGCTACTGGTGAAACAAGTCCCAAAACAAAACCCAAGCAAACGGCAAACGATTGATGGCCAACGAAAATGGCGGTGAAACCATGTGTTTGTTCCCAGATGATCCCAAACGCAAGGAAGTCCACACAGCATGGGAGTCCACACCCATGTGTCAGGCATCAAGACGTTGGAATCTTGGAACAGTCGTGTCAATGCAACCTGACACGACTGGTGCATCACCACTGGTACATCACGGGTGGATACGTTGAATCCCACATATGATGGTGAAACGAACGAACATGACTGAACAAAAGTATATAATAGTATATACTGTTCACAAGCTCGGCAAAGTACAAAGCACATGCCAAACAACATTACAAAAACAATACTGACTTTGATAAGAAATCATAAGAATACCATATGGGGACCATGTGGATGTCTGAAGTACGAATGAATCACGGTCAATCAGATTCGGCAATCTGTTAACTCCGAGGCGAAGATTGGACACGTCATTGATTTGAAGGATTCCAATTGGTCTTTTGATGTCTATTGTGCTGAGCGGACGTCAGCACCTTGTTCTCGTAGTACTGGTAGCAAGCAGGTGGTGGGAAAAGTACTGCACCAGTCTTCTCGAACTCTCCAAAGTGCTCTGCAAAGGCATAGGGCATGCGCTTCTCGTAGATCTGACGAGCATTCTAAAGGGATCATGGATATGCTCTTTGAGGCTCTTGGCGGGAATACAAATGGCTTCCAAGATCGCTCAGGGGATCTCACTGGTGCGACAAGAACAAGTGCGAGGCACACTTTGACCGCTTCTCATCGATGGCTCTTGTTCTTGTTAGTCCAACCATCGGCGGCCAAGTCCAGCAAGAACAAGTGCATCTATTGATTCTTTGGCTGCTTTTTGGCCGAAATCAGGTCCGAGCCTCTCCAGGCTGCAGCACGAGGTTGAACTCATCATGATGGCTGGTTCGCCACAAGTACCGAACTCCTGGTAGAGTGTCCTGTGGCCTTCAGAAAGGAACAAATGCCAAGTGGAGCTGTAGCGAAGGTGCCATTCATCTTGGCAAAACATGTCGGGCAAAACTGACAGTGTCGAAAGGTACTGCAGATAAATTTACAGTATCATGTCAGGACTGTATGCTGAAAGAGGCAACAAACAGGTATACGGTATACAAAAACCTTTCATGCAGGTTTAACATAGACCAGTTCAAAAACAATCCTTACTGTTGATTACCTGGCTCTCCTGCTTGTCCTCATGTCGCAGCAATTAGTATCTGTTCAATCTAGCATGAATGAATATCCTTGGACCTTCGATTCACCTCACAAAACCAAAAATTACCTTAGTCCGAGTATGTCCGAGTGATTCCCACCTTGCCATAGCCCACGACAGGTCTGTCTTTGAAGCAGCTGTTTGACCCGACCCCTCATTGCGAGTTTTGTGGGTGGACTACTCAGGAAGAACCAGCAGGCACACAAATGCAATAATATACAAGTTTGAGTCAGTTGCCAAACTGAAAAAGCATTGCTATCCACACTGAGAGGCGGCTTGGAAGAAGGGCATGCGTACTTACTGACAAACGATCCTGACAATTACATATGAGAGCTGCCATATGTATATTCAGATATGCATATATACATACCGCCATGCTGCCAATTCATAATGTGTGCCCTTTTGCGTTCTGAAGTTCTGAGATATTCTCAGACTCTAAGACTTCTGGCATATGTTCGGACATGTGCACTGTCATCTACATTCTAGGATAGCATGAAATCCTGTCCAGTGCCCCAATCTGCAGGATCGCTCAGAGTCTGCTATGCAGGATCGCATCAACGAATTGACAAGGCTAGCTGGGACAGCAAGAAGGAGGACGGTGGACGAATTGACGAAGCGAGGGGGGAGTCCGCTCGGAGTGAAGAAGCATAGAAAATCTAGAGACCCTCACTGATGTTTTCATATGTTTTCATAGTAGATAGGAAGGGAAAACATGTCGTTTTCGGCATGAAGGCTAGAGTCTCATGGCGCACTGGGCGGAACGGAAGTACATGGGGAAAACTTGGGAAAACTACCACCACACAAAACCTCTTCTCCAAACATCTTCCGTTTGCCCCCCTCCGGCCTATCGACCAAATGCGGCTCCACGCCAATCCTTGGGAAGGCCTCAAAGAACAGCTCACGGTGGATCTCCTTGCGACGCCGCCTGGATCTCTCTGTCCGCAGTCTGTCCGTAGTCTGTCCACAGACGGAACGCGCCGCTGGATTCTTTCAGGAGCCGGTGGAATCCAACCGTTTTGCTTGGCTTCCAACCGTCGCTGATTTGGAACCACCGCACCTCTTCGTAGGGTCATAGTCTTTAGCCTTCCTGGGCAAAAAGGTAGACCAAAAACTTCAGATCGGAAGCTTGAAGGTCTGACAAACAAATACTTTCAAGTATGTTGTATAGAAGTTGACAGAGTATTGACACATAATCGGTTTTCTCAAAGACTACAAAGGGAAAGGATGCATTTCTACAGCAAGCTATATACAAGCGTTTTGCTTCGCTCTGGTCAGTCAAGTGTCTTGTTGGGCTTGTGCAGGACCTCCACAAAGCCCATGGAGGGCGTCATGGGGAATACGACTGCAACCAGCCGCGATATGTCCCTCCTTGGTGAATCAACCCATCCCGGAAACAAGCGTAGCAGTCAACGATATTCAACGTACTGCTGTGGGTGCTCATGCTGCTAAGGTTCAGAACTTTGCCTTGAAGGATTTCCTAGATGCCACTGAAGAAGGAAGAACATAGGGGGTTCAAAGTTCAAAGGGGCTTCAGCTTCTGGTCATTCTCAGACCCCAAGCAAACCCAATATCATGAAGAATCTCAGCTGCATAGTCAGGACTTCCTGCGGAAAAGGTTCAGGGCCACATCTTTGGGCAAGGAGAACCAAAGCCGGCTGCTGGTGTGTTCCTGGGTTGGTAGCAAAGGTAAAACATGATGCTAGAATTCAGAAGCACAAAGTCTCTCCTTCTGACACTCTGAGGGGGTTGATGGGCTGTTTGGTGTGAACAGTGTATCTGTGTGCTTCTGCAGCGTATTCCTTTGGACACGCTTTGGAGATGACAATACCTTCAGTTGGGCCCCATTCTGCAAAAAAGGTTGAAATATGTCAATGAGTGTCATAGGTGCAAATCATAATCACTAAATACGTGGTGGGGCTTGCTGAGGATTCGTGTCCAGTCACCTGGTCTATTCTTGCCGTTTCCCTCTTTAAGTCCAAAAACCAGTCATTATATAATTACCCCAGTCCCAAACCGAACCTTCCCCAAGTCCCAAACCGTGTTCAAGGGGCGAATCCGCGCGTGATGACTTCGCGCCAGTGCCGGTAAGCACCTCCGCCCTTTGCGATCAACTCCTGCCAGGCTCGGACGCGCCCGGTGGCTCGGTGAGAACCCGGTTCCTAAGGGCGTTGATGGGGTCTCAAATGGGATATAGGCCCATGGGCTGACGGGCTGGACAGTGTCTTCAATGAAAGGGTTGGATCTGCCGTGTCAATTGAGTGCAGTCAGTGGCACAAGTCACATAAACAGGCACCAACGATCGGCAAGACCTACTTCGCACATGAAAGTGCAGCTGCAAACCAGAAGAAACACGTGGAAGGGAAAAAAAGAAAGAAACCTAAAACGATTTATTGGGCACATCAAGTTCAATAAAAGGTAACACAAAATGACTGCGAAAAAGCAAAGGCTTCAGCTGAGGAAACAGGGGGAGTCCTCCGGGCCTTTGAGTGTCCCAGGTTTGTCTGCTTTGCACGACAATGTTGACAATGATATTGATAGGGGTCCTCCTACAACCCAGGCTGTTTCTAAAAAGTCTCCTGAGAGCTATGTGCTGGGCCCAGTGGAAGCAAAGGGCCTCCGTGCATGGCCGCCAACCTTAGCCGGATATCTGTGATGTACCTCTCTCGGAGTCTAGACGCTCCAAATTTGCACATTTGACTCCAAGTGAAGAATTTTTGAAAACTGCATCACATGATATCACATGGCTTCATGCAAAAGCGTAGCTTGAAAACACCCTCACCCATCACTTCTTTTCTCCTCTTCACTCTCAACACGTTTTTGACTATAATGGTGAGCCTTAGGAAAAACCACAAGCCCCCAGCAATTGGAGCGTTGACCGTTGCTCGAAGCCTGGCATCTCCTCATCTGCCACCACATAGTCAGGCAAGGGCCTTGGGATCTCTCGTGGGAGCTTCCAGATTACTTCCGGTGTGGAGCTTCCCATGAGGTCCAAATTGTTTGTTCAGTCTGAGGAGCAAATCGAAAGCCTTTCCGTTGAAGAGCGGCTGGGCCTGCTGGACTGCAAGACTGCAACACTTACATCATCGACTGCATGAAGGAAACAAGAAAGTACCGAAAAGTCAGAACACCAAGTGCAGCGGGGGTTTAGAGTCCTTTCAAATGAACGTGTGCCTCATCATAAGTCGTTGAACGTCACACCCCCACTCCCGCTCGCGCCTGCATGAACTTGAGCTCCAAGACCAAGGCATCACCCAAACGATAGCAGTTCCTCACATAGCTGGTGGTGACCTTGATGATCTTCATGTCCTGGGAGAAAGGAGCGACCAGCTTCTCGACACCAAAAAGTCGCCAATGGAAGACACAGTGTTTCCATATGTTTCCACGCCTTCCAGATGCAATGCTGTACGCAAATGACATCAAACGAATCGGATGTGCAATGGAATGCAAATGAAACAGAATCGTAGCAGCCTGTGCCGTTCGTCATCTACCGGTTGCTTTTGTCCCGGTTGCGGTCAAACAGCTAAAATTTTGCCGCGATATAGACCGGTAGGCACTCCTCTTTCACCACTTCACCCCACTTTTCCTTTCGGCCTGGGAGCGCGTTTTCCGCACAGAAATCACAGCAGAACTCAACAAATCGATCACTCTCAGGATCTTAGGGATGCTACAAAGATTTCGGCTCTGGAGGGTGTCAGGGATCACGGCAGTTTTGTTGGGACATAAATGGTTTCCGGGCTCTTGCCCAGGCCACGGTGCCCAATCGCTGCATGGAACACACCAGCCCTGCTGGCCCGCTGTTGGGCGTGAGCCCCGTAAATAATGCGAGCTTTCAGCCTAGTAGCGTCCTTGTTCCTAGCAGTACGGCCCGGAGCCCCTAGTAGCGTCATTGTTCCTAGTAGCGATGCCAGGAGCCCCTAGTAGCGTCCTTGTTCCTAGTGGCATTCAGCACAAGCTCTGACACTTTCAACTTTCTCTTGACATTTGACGTATCATGTTCTTGTAGGATAAAGCAACACTGGGTTCTCCGGTGAAGCTTCATTATTTGGGATATGGCCCCACCAAGCCTCAAAAAGGTTGCTTTGCTATGGATATGTCTCTTTCTGTACCATTGCAATATAATGCAATATATCTATCAAGCCCTCTTGGTCTGTTTATTGTCGGAATTGGAGGAAGCTAAGCCAGCCTATCTTACGAGCGGCCTTTGTTGAAAGCTGGACACTGCCTTAAGAGCAGAGCGTGCTCTCTGTGGACAGCTGCTAACAGGAACTTTGCCTCACGGAAAACAAAGGCCCTCTTTCAATGCAATGAACATGTGAAAATATGACCCCACATCGAACCCTGAACACCAAATGTCCTGCATGTCGGCAGGGTGCTGGTGCTGTCACGGCTCTAAAACATCAAACATCAACGTGTCCACATGCTTTTTGCTCGCAATGGATAACTACACTCTTGCAGGGGACGGGAGGGGCCACCATGGGGCCACCTGTTTTTTTGTGTCCGCCAGCTCCTCCTTTGCCGCCCCTCACAGGCGGGTTTCTCACGCCATCCTCTAGGTCTTGATCTGCCTGCAAGCGAATGAGCTTAAAGGCTTAAAGCATCTTAAAGCTGTAAACTGTGAAAATATCAAGCAACGGATGAGCGACCAAAAGGCTTTTTGCAATCTGTCAAATGCCCTGCAAGTAGACCATGGTCTTGGTCGAATGTTGGAATATTGAACTGGGACGTCTGAGGATCCCAAGCCAGGAACAAAACACTATATGTCGGTTGTCATGCCGATGCGTACTGCAACCGGTTGCAATGCAAATGCTATCATCCAATCTTATGCGCTTGGAAGTTGTCAACTTGGATGAACCAGCCAATCCAGGCCGCCTGTTTTCTTGCTGCTACACGTCTGCGGGTACGGCTTCCCCTTCAAGAGGTAGTCATATCGGATCGTCGGATAGGATATCATAATATGATATCAAAAAAATGGACTTGAGGCGTTTGGCCAGTCAAGAATATACACTGACTCACTAGCATGGAAGTGGATGGCATGGGCCTCTTGGAAGACTACTCTCCTTTACAAACAGGAGGTTTTCCACTTCCATGTGTAACTGGCAAAACGCATTAAACAAGCTTGCCGCAGCTGGTGCCCTAGGCATTCCCAGTTACGAGGCATGCCACAGCGCAGCTTGAAAGCGCCCGTCCGCGGACCCGCGTCACCAATTGCATTCGACAGCACAGGTTTCACCGCAGTGCTCGAAAACAAGTTGATTATGAAGGCCTGAACCCCTCTCTTCCCCGCTCTCTGTGTCACACTTCTTTACCACCATTTACAACTTCTTCACATTGGGTGCAAGGAGACGGTCCATGCTGATTGAACAGTGGTGATTAACCACGTTCAACAACTACTTCAGCTACATCTGCATGAGAAGACCCAATCGGCAAAATGTCAGCAGGCCAGCATCGCTGAAACGAATAAAATAACTGCCAGCCAACAAGAGTCAGAGTCAAAGTTTTGCTCCCACAAGCAAGAACACAAGAACATTGAGTTGTAGTTCTGTGTCCAAGCAGCATGGACATCGATGGTGTCTGCCATTGTCCCATTTCGATCCATTTCGACCAAAGTCGTTTTCGGGCAAAGCAAGCGACATGGGCACACAGAATAGCAATCCTGAGCTGCCTTCCATCGCCTTGGACGATTTGACGGCAAACGAAGCTGGAGTTCATCTGAAAGTTGAAGATCCCCAAATCTTGCAACATACTACCTACTTTACATCCCCATGAACTTCCGCCTTGTTCTTAGAATGGATTGGGTTTTTAACTGCCATATGTGCACCACATTTGCAGTCAGTGCGTAATTGTTCCCTCGAACCACCAAACAATCTGCTTCCCACCTCGCAGCATTCTTCACCGTAGATTTCCCGTCCGAGACATTGGAGTAGCCGCTTGGATGCATGGACGCTTGCTACACTGCATGAGTTCAGCACCTGCCACCATTGTCGAAGTCACACCCTGACAATATTGTCATCAAGGCACTCCCAACAGAGAAAGAGCAAGCAAAAGTGCCTGCTCTCCGACATGCGCAACACATATGCACTAAAACCGGAAAAAACCAGGAGGCCTTGAACCAAAAGCAAGCATGGTTCACAAACATGTCAAAGCTCAAATGATTTGGCTGAATATCAGTATTTGACCATATTTGACCTCTTGAGATGCAACTCAGCGTGCCTGAGATTCGGTTTCTGCTTCTTCTGTGTAAGTCTGACCATCTGTTCCATTGAACCTTAACACCAAGAGCAAAGACCGTGAAACTCCAACTTGAAACTGCCCAAGGAAAAGAGGACCTTTGCTTAACCTTTGCTTGGATGCCCCAACTTGGAACTGAACTTGCGCCAATTCTAGGCAGTACAACATCCTTGATCTGGTCGGAACAAGAAGTGGAAAGTGATCGTCATTGTTTCTTTTGTGCAAAACGTCTCTGCATATTACGTAGCTAAAAGATGCTAAGAGTCACTTAGAACAATAACAAACTCCAACGTACGCAAGTGTTTAACATGGAGATCAGATCAAACGGAGCTCAAACCGTACGCCGATCTGATGTTTGTATGTTCAAAAACGATGCTAACCATGAGGCAACGCATGGCGCTTGCTAACCTGGCTGTGAGAGGTGAAAGCTTCGCCGAGAGGCGTCCTCCATTGCATCACCAGCCAAACTGACCCCAAAAAGATGCAACATCCCAGAAAGGTGAAAGCCCGCGGAAGGAGGCACCAGCCTGCTCCTGCAAATGCGTAGGCCAGGATTCAAGGAACAAAGAATATTCTTGAGATTCTGATGGCTGTCATTCAAGATGCTTGAGTGTTCAATTCCAAACGTTCAGGGTATTTCGTATCATAGTTCATGATTTGTTTACATTCTGCATCATTCTGGCTTCGTGTCACCATGTGTCACCATGTGCCCACCCCCTGGTTGGGATGGACTTGATGAATCTTCCCATCCTTTGGCTCGTTTCTTGGCCGCCATGGTCTCCCATTGGCTCGTGCACCACTCCCGCGTGTGTCCACCCGGCACCGTGCTCGCGCGGGATTGGCGGGCCAAACGGTGGAACCGGGGTCGGGCGTTCTTGTTGGCTGCGCGGAATGCTACATGCTACGGAATGCTCAATTTTAGAGCGGAGATCTTGCTACCAACATGTGTTCAAGCATGAGTTTGATGGAGTTTTCCCTACAAGCAGCCAGCAACCCCAAATGATGGTCTGTGTCAGTGTCACCAATTTGGATCGTGAGCCACACAATTGCTCCACTCACCGGAACCAACTCCATCTGTGTGCTGCCGAGTGGACAACATTCATTCTGACAGGGTTGACCATAAGAGCTTTGCTGAAAGACAAAGAGGCTAGCGGCTAGCTTCTGTGGCCTTTCTTCTTGGCCTCATAGCTGCAGTCTTGCTTGAACCGTTCAAAAACCCACGCGAGTCAACAAATCCTGCTGATTAAGAAAGTGCTCAGGCTCAAACAGTGAAGTAATTATTATGAAGCATTTAAGCATTGGCATTGGGTACCTCTAGACGAAGCAACGACCAAATCTTGTGGACCCCCATGGCCCAAGAAACGAGCAGGATGTTCTCCAAACATGGTGTGTCCTTCAATTCCTTAAATAGGAGCTTCATCTTATTTTGGAACTGTAGTCAGAAGATCGAAGCATCACCCGGATCGAACCAGTCATTTCAGCCCGTTGACCCAGTCTTTTTGTGGCCCGGCTCGCACTGTGACAGTGCCAGGCCCGGCTCGCCTCACGTCACACGTCAGTCACACAAAGCCGGAAGCCATGCCACCCACACCGTCCGGAGTAGTGAGTGTTTGGCGTTCAGAAACGTCGAGGAAAGGGTTAAAAGCGTCGAGAAAACCAATACCTGCGCTGATTTGAGTTTGAGGGTTATGTCAAGTGAATCGGCACCACTTGGCCAACAAGTCAGCTCCAGGTTCCTTTTTGCAGTTGGAGGAATCTGCAAAGACACCAATCGCAACATCTATTGGTTGCTTCTTGACATCACTCCTATTTACTCGCATCTGATTTATTCACAGCTAATACAGCTTTGGCGATGCATCAAACCTCAGGGAGGCGATTCTAAGAAATTCAGAGGCCTCCCGCCTCGCGAAAAGGAAACTGGCAGGCCCATGCGTGGCCTTTGTATCAAAAATGTCTATTCCACGCTCTGAACAAAAAGGAACTGTTACAAAACGCGTTTCCCGGTCACTTCGCCCGGTTGCTTCAACATCCTGTCCTTTAATTACTTGCCCATTTTGGCCAGCTCGGCCGGAGTGCGATCCTTGTCGGTCTTCCAACTGCCCAGAAAATGATGAATGATCAGAGGCGCTTTCCCCTCTTCCGGATCGTCCCGGGCCACCTGTGGCGAGGAGTTTACACGACCCGCCGCGCAGACCCAGAGTTTCCACGTCCCAAGGCCGTACCTTAGATCTCCAAAAAAGATCATGAACCATAAACTCAACCTTTATAATATATAATATATCATACAAAATGCAAATATCAAATTAATTAAATGGTTATATAATATCAAAGGAAACATAAACCCCGTTCCTCTCACGCCACAGGGGCAAACAGTAGATGAGCGCACTGAATTCAATAAAATATATGACTGCGAAGGTATGCAAAAGTACTAGTTTCAGCTCGCACCAAAACAGCATATCTAAAACAAACGCCCTGGGAAGAAAATGCAGTTCATTTCCAAAGCATGTCCAAGATACAATTTTTCACTAGGAAAACTCAGATAGTGTGCACCTGGTGGAGACTGGCGAAATCCAATCTCCTTCTGCACTGCATCCTCTGAGTTGTCCTCCAGGAACTCATGAACTGCATCACTGAAGACCCCAGGGCCTGTGAGATCCAGTGTGCTTTGAATCTTCCAGGCGAAACGACGTCGGATCATGTGCAACACCCGAAGCAAAAGTGGATTCTGCGGAGCCGAGACGATGAACCACTGCTGAAACTGTTCGGTGCGGCCAAACTTGATCTCTGCTCGCTGCCACTCCGGGAAGCGATGCCCGAACTCATAGCCTGAGAGCTGACGAGTCTGGCTTAAATAATGGCTTGAACATCTTGGTAGCCAAGTACCATCAAATATCTAATGGGCAACATTTTTCACCCTTCAGCCCTTTTTTGTAACCCCGCGTTTTTTCCACCCTCCAATTTTCTTTTTCACCTTCTGAACCTTCTTTTTTCACCCTCGGAACCCTTTTTTTCACCCTCTACCCTTTCTTTTTGACCCTCTACCCTTTCTTTTTCACCCTCCTTCAATTGCTTGGTGTGTTGGTTGGTTGGCTAGCTTGATGTAATGCAAGCCAAGTATCGACAGCCTTTGGGGAAAACACAGGGTTGTGTGGTTTTGGTTGCTTGGTTTGTTGGTTGCTTGGTGGGCTACCCATAGGGAGCCCGTAAATAAAGGCGGGAGGCGGTGTGGTGGCAGCGCCTCCCCCGCAATGCAAACCAAGCCTCCCCAGCAATGGATTTCTAGCATCTACAGCACTTGGGGAAAACACGGGGTTATGTGGTTTGGTTGGTCGGTTGGCACTCCATTGAAGGATGGATGGATGGATGGATGGATGGATGGATGGATGGATGGATGGATGGATG